TTTGTTTCCTTCCCTACAAATATATCTTTATTTCTAGCGCTGTACAATTTCAATTCACCATCAACTATCCACCTTCCGTTGGAGGTGGGCGAGCTGGTTCACTTGACGAGGGAAACGAATGACTGGTACTGGGGCAGCAGCCTCAGGAGAAACAAGAGTGGAGCATTCCCCAAGAAATATGTCGTCATAAGAGACTGTGTTGTTGACAGGTTAGTGTATAACTTACGGGATTCAACAACAAATAAAGAAAAACATTCTGGATCAACAGCTTAAATAAAGAAAAAAAATTGTGGCCCAACATGCTAATTAAAGAAAAATATTCTGGCCCAACATCCTAACACACAAAACTGTTTATAAAGTCTTTATTTTAAGTTTTATTATAATAAGACTAAGCTGTTCGAATTTTACTTTAAATGAGCAAATCTGTATTACAAGATAAGTTAGATATCGTATTATAGACAAAAAAGATAAAAAATTTTTGTTTTGTATACGCTTTAAATCATATGAACTTTAATACTCTTGAAGCTATTAATTTTCATTTGTTTTCAACTTCAATAGGATTATTGCAAATAAGTATCATTTTGATAGAAAGAATGTGTTTTGAGACAAGTTGAATTAAGTCATTGGCATTGGTACACTGAAATAGGGTTCATTAATGACTGCATTTACTCTCATTAACAATTACAACATAAAAGAAATTTGTTTTTATGTATAAATAATACAAAAAGCCATACATACACACACTTTCAAAGAAATTACAATTCGTATCAATAACTTTGTATAGCATTTCATTCGAAAGCATTAAAAAATAATAACAAAATAAAGTCCAATGACCCTTTGATAATTTGGTCGATGAATCATGACGGCCGACACAACTAATTGAAATATAGTTATTAGTGTTGTGTTACTTGTGTTTTTTATTAACATTCATTGTGTGTTATGGATGCATTCAAATAATTTATTAATGCTTTTTATGTTAAGTAAAATATGTTTTAAACCGAAGGATATAAATTGTATTGATATATGTATATGGAATAAGTAGTAGTTTTACGATCAATGTAGTATATTTCTCCGGGATAAAATATTGTTTCTGTTAATGTTTTACTTGGAAAATAACTAGTGAAATTTCAAGTTAGTTCAAAATGTCGTTAGTCTTTATTAGGTTTGCGACGAAATCAATATACTTTAGCCACTCATATTATATTATCCTGAACATTTCGGAACTAATGTTTAAATAAGACATATATTTATAAAGTACTTGGGGGGTAACAGGCTCCAATTCCATCTAGGAGCCCAAGCCAACCCTGCCTGCACGTGGCACCCCTGCTGGTTAACGGAAAGGGCTCTGGCGATGCTTTTCCTCTGGAGTTCACTCTAGAGGTTCGGGAGTCAGACGGCAGTCGTCCCGGTAATAGGCAAACAAGCCAATAAAAATGATAGGAAAGGAAAGAGAAAGCAACATGGCTAGGGCGTCGCCGTATAACGACGCGCAGGGGGATCGCCTTGCCCCTGTGATAAGTGGGCGAGGGCTACCGGGTGCCGCGCGAACCCGGCTAAAGAAGTTAGCGCCTGTTGCGAAGATCCGCTTTGCTAGCTGGAACATTGGCACGCTGACGGGACGCTCTACAGAGCTCGCGGCCACACTCGCCAGACGAAAAGTGGCGGTGGCGTTCTTGCAGGAGACACGGTGGAAGGCCAACAGAAGCCGTTACATAGGGCAAGGCTACAAGCTGATCTATACAGGCTCTCCTGGCGGGGAGAACGGTGTGGCGGTTGTGCTTTCCGAGCGCTACCATGACAGTGTCTTGGAAATCAAGCGTATTTGCGATCGACTTATGGTGGTAAGGGTACTCATTGAGGGAGTAGTAACTCACCTCATAAGTGCCTACGCCCCACAGGCCGGATGCAGTGATGCGGATAAGGCACTGTTCTGGGAGCGTGTCGGTGACGTGCTAGCCGCCATACCGTTGTCTCATGGTATTGTTTTGGGTGGTGATTTGAATGGTCATGTGGGAGAGACGCACGAGGAGTATGGACGTGTTCATGGCGGATATGGTTACGGCCGAAGTAACGCGGAGGGAGAAACCATTCTCCGAACCTGCGTCGCCGCTGACCTGGCCGTAGTGAACACGTTTTTCAAAAAGAAACCTGAGCATCTTATCACCTACAGGAGCGGTCGAAGCGCCACTCAAATCGACTACCTTCTGACTAGGAGAAGCCTTGTCAGCCGCGTGGCCAACTGTAAGGTCATACCCGGAGAGTGTCTAACTGCCCAGCACCGACTCCTTGTTATGGATCTCTGCGTGAAGCCTCGCCGTAAACACGCTGAGCGTTGCCGCCGCCAAATCAAGTGGTGGCTGCTGGATCACACCAGGTTCTCAGAATTTGACTGTGCCACTGGGGACATAAGTCCGGATACAGAAGGCAAGTCCGTTGAAGAGTACTGGAATAAGCTTCAGACAACAATCACGAAAACGGCAAAGCAAATCCTCGGTGTGGCGAAAGGAGGCCGCAAAATTGACAAGGAGTCATGGTGGTGGAATGCCACAGTCCAAAGGATGTTACAGGAGAAGAAAGTGCTCTTTAAGAAGTGGCAAGCGTCTAAATCCCCTGAAGATCACGAGTCGTACAAGATTGCGAAAAGAGAGGCTAAGAAAGCTGTAGCCAGAGCCAGGCGGGAACACTTGCAACCACTATATGCGAAGTTGGACTCGCCTGAGGGGCATAAGCTCATTTATAAACTAGCACGCTCTAGGATCAGGGCAGCGCAGGATACAAGTCACTGCCGCTGTGTTACTGACGCTAACGGAACGCTCTTGTACGATGAGTGTGCAGTGAAGGAGAGATGGCGCTTTTATTTCCACGGATTACTGAACACTCAACACCAAGAGGTGCGACCACCAGCACCTCCTCCAAACCTAGGACTTGTGCCACCGATTACGTCTGGTGAAGTACTCGATTCTCTTCGTCGCATGAAAAATCGGAAGGCTGTCGGACCGGATGAGGTATCAATTGAAGCGTGGAAAGCGATGGGTGCTCGTGGTGTGTGCATCCTTACTAGCCTTTTTAATTTAATCCTGAACCACCGGAAAATGCCGAATCAGTGGAGGCTGAGTTTCATAACGCCGGTCTACAAGGGCAAAGGGTCTGCTCAGGATTGCGGTAACTACCGTGGTATAAAGGTGATGTCACACACCATGAAACTCTTCGAGCGCATAATTGATAACAGAATCCGGCAGGAGTGTACAGTGTCGGATTTCCAGTACGGTTTCCAACCGGGACGTGGTACCATGGACCCTATTTTCGCCCTTAGGATTCTTATGGAGAAACACAGGGAAAAGAATATGCCTCTTCATTTCCTATTTCTGGATTTGCAGAAGGCCTTTGACTGTGTTCCCAGAGAGATAATCTGGTGGGCGTTGAGGTCCAAGATGGTGCCAAATACCTATGTGGAAATCGTACGAGACATGTACCACAACTCCGATGCTATAGTCAGGACCGCTGTTGGTGACACCACACCCTTCCCTATTACTGTTGGCGTGCATCAAGGATCTGTCCTAAGCCCATATCTATTCAGTGTGATATTAGACGAACTGTCAGCCAGTGTACAGAAGTTACCACCGCCTTGGCTGCTAATGTACGCTGATGATATCGCACTGGTGGATGAGGACAAGGGACGTTTAATCCGGCGTGTGCACGAGTGGAAAGGGGCACTTGAGAACGGCGGGCTGAAAATTAATGCGACGAAGACAGAGTATATGGCTTGCAATAGCTCGGATCCTACCTCCATCTGGATCGACGACGTCATGGTAGGGCGTACGGATCACTTTAAGTATCTTGGATCTGAGCTCGATGCGTCCGGAGACATCGACCGCGACATCAAAGCCCGTATAACTGCGGCTTGGGCGAAGTGGCGTGAGGTGATTGGAGTTATTTGTGACCCTAAAATGCCGGTCGTGCTGAAGGGACAGGTCTATAAAACCATCATTAGGCCTGTCCTTATGTACGGCAGTGAGGCATGGCCTCTGCTGGAGCGGCACCGGCGGCTGTTGCATGTCACGGAGATGAATATGCTGCGCTGGATGTGTGGCGTTACGCGGAAAGACCGCGTTCGTAACTCACACATTCGTGGCAGTTTGCATGTCCGTGACATTGCCGACAAATTGCAGGAAAGTCGCCTACGCTGGTACGGCCATGTCTTACGACGACCGGAAAACTACGTGGGTCACAAATGCCTCAATATGACCGTACCTGGCGCCAGGAGTAGAGGAAGGCCCAAAAGACGTTGGCTTGATGTCGTGCAAGATGACATGCGTGCCAATGGACTCCACAAGAAGGATGCCGAAGACCGGGCTAAGTGGAGGACACTGAGTGGGAAAGCGGACCCTGGGTTCTCCCGCCCTGGGCGGGACGAACAACCGGGACAAACGCTAGGGTGATGATGATTTATAAAGTACTTCATTTAGTCGTTCATTTTAAGATATATGCATATTTTTCATACGATGAATAAATTTAAGCTTTGTTAGAGTATAAGGCTTCGCCAGCGTGTGTATGTATATTATATTATGAAGAAGTCTATGATTCTCTATTCTTTGTGTATTGTGGGAATAACAACTGGCAAGAATTTCTCGGATTTTTAGTGTATGTAGTTGAAAGAGAATGTATATAAAGGCCAAACTTTTAAAAATACTATATTAAACGTTTGACAGGAAATATTTACCGATGACTTCAATACCATATATAATATTCCTGTACCAAAGCATAGGGATTATAAGTTACAAAATAATATATAACGCGTAGTATCTTAAAGACTGAGTTTTATTTACAATATAACTTTAAATACATTTCCCTTATTTGTACCTTTATTTACCTTATTTATTAGTATTTCTCACACTTTTGTTTTGTTTCATCCATGTACACATTAAAATGGTAATAATTTTAAAAGCAATTACATTATATCTATACATATAAGTACTATTATGGCAGTTATTATATAAATTCTGTCATTTCTTATTCGTGGTAGATGTGGTGAGACGGTGGTAGCTTCAGCTGGTGGTAGCGCAGTTGTTCACGACATAGCGGTCACGTTAAGAGAATGGCTGCAACATTGGAAGGTTTTATATACGGTGAGTAGGCTTTCGAGATTGATATATGTCCTGTTTTATGTGTTAAGACATATGTCTAGCTATATAGCTATGAACTTCAAAAATTCCACACGAATTGGCTTCATAGTTTTGGTGTGAGTTTGAATGTTGCAACTACATATACGCAAAAACAGTAACACAAAAATGAAACTTATCGAAAACGATTTTTTTCTTCTCTTATTTTATCGTACCGTATAAATATCACTTAAAGAATCATAAATTTATATTAATTTTGATTTCTTTTTTTTGCTTTACATGTTTCATTGTTGCAACTGGAAAACCAAATAAATAACTGCTCTCTAAACGAGTTCTTTAACCATATAGGTGGAGCAGCTAAATAAATTCACCTTAAATGTAAACTTTCATTTTAAATATTACATATACATACATGTTTAAAAAAAATATCATCAGTTTTTGGCAAACGAAAAGAATAAATTAACTTTTTCTTCAGGGAACAAAAAAAAAATAACACTATTATACAACTTTTTGTCGTCAAATAGACTTAAATCCAAATTTTCTTCCAAGAATATATACATACTAGCTTTCTACCCGCAGCTTCGCCCGCGTGGAGTTCGGTTATATCGCATTTCCAAGAAAACTTTTCAAATGCCTGGGATAAAAATTATCCTCTGTTCTTTCTCAAGGTCAATTCTATATCTGTTCCAAATTTCATTAAAATCAGTTCAGTGGTTTAGGCGTGAAAGCGTAACAGACAGACAGATAGAGTTACTTTCGCATTTATAATATTAGTAGGGATAGAGCACGCGAAAGTACCTGATGAATTTCATCCCTTATTTGTATATTATTTCTTCAGACAAACGACGAACGTTTCAAGTTCATGGAAGTTAGCATGAGGGCTCTTTTGGAGTTAAGAGCTCAAGCTGCGTCCGGGGCTTTACCTGTAGACCAGCTCAGAAGAGTTGCTAGAACGGCTGTCTTCACTATAGATAAGGGGAACAGGTGGGTTAAAGACTAAGCTTTAATATAATGTTCAAGATTTACACGAGTCCAATACATTTAATCATAAAACATTTTCGAATGTATCTCTTGTATTATGTATTATTCTGATATTTGATCCATTTACCATTTTGCGGGTTTTCAGAAAAAGTCAATGGTTTTTTCTGGGCTGCATTTTCTTCTTATGAAAAAATTCCCATTCCAATAAAATATAACACCGATACATTATATTGCGATATTCATTATTAACAGATCATCATAACAAAATATATTTAAATTTTTTGTAACGCTAATTAGAATTATTGTAGGACATTAATTTAAATTCTAGACATCTTGTAAAAACTTTCCAAACCATACACTCGCGAAAAGAAATATTTTTTTAATGTGAGGTATGTACGAAGTTTTAAATTGAAATGTTCATTCAGGACTTTAGGAATGGAGTTAGCAGTGAGAACAATCAGCGGTCAACTGGTGGACCCATTAACGACGTCTACCTTCAAACTGAACGCCTTACACGAAGAAGCCAACTCCAGAATAGATAAAAACATGGTAATTCTTAACGAAACTATCACGTTATTTTCTATCACAAGTTGAAATATTCTCTATTTATATAGAATTCATCATCATCATCAGTCTATCAGAGCCTACTGCTGAGCAAAAGCCTCTCCCCACATAGAGAAGGTTTAACCATTAATCACCACGCTTGCTCAAGGCGATTTGGTGATTTCAAACTTATAATTTGATTATAAAGCCAGGTTTCCTCATCGTCTGTCAATGATGTCTAAATACTCTTAGAAAGTACATATGACTCGGTAAAATCACATTGGTATTTGACAGGTTTGGGTTACCTTCAGGCCACCAGTACCATATAGTCGTCCCAAAAAACATATATAGTCCAAGAGCGACTTTAAAGTATTCCTTCCATAATTTACAGGAGACGACCCCAACAAGTCGTCCATCTAGTCAAATAACCGCCGCCCGCACCTATACTATAGTGGCTCACGTGAATAATTTCGTGTGTCGTTTGAGAGACGCCGCCGAGCTGTCTCTAGCGCTTCATGACGGCGCTGGGAACAAACTGACGGAGAACGTGCTCTTAAAATGGCCGCCGGGACATTTAGCAGCACAGGAACTATTCACAGCGCCATACGTTGTGTTCACGGTAAAGATCATATTAAACCTACTTAAAAACTTGGGTATATCCTGAACTAACATTATTCATTCTTAGAACGTACTTTAAGGGCAGCCCTAGTTTAAAATTTAGTTAGGTACAGAGAGGAGCTTGGACAGTGTAGGTGAGCGTTTAACGCGTTAGATAGGAGCCCTTAAACCTACACCTGGGTCACAAGTCCCAGGCACTGTTGAAGATCCTCTCCCTGCAACGCTATGATCCATTGATGATGCTAAGAAGTTTCGTCTCACTGTTAACAGATAAGGTTATACTGACAAGAAGCAACTAGAGAAAAAATGGTTTAAGGCTGAAAAGTTATTAGCTTTAGGTTACAAAGTACAGAGAAATCCTTTGATATATTTTTTCTATTTTGTTGCTTCCTGTCAATATTAAAAATGTGATAGTTTGTGATGTATGAATGTTGGTTGCTTTTCCATTTTAATATTCTTAACGGATTTCGATAAAACTTTCCAATAGTGTGGTTAAAACAAATAATATCAGCAGATTGAAATTTATTAAAAATTACGACTACTTTATGTATGAAATCGTGTCGCAGACTTAGAAGGGGCTACCAGTTGATTCCTATATACATATATCATAAATTCTCTAAAACTAATCGATTATATTAATACTTGGAAGTTATAATAATTTATTTCTGCTACAAACTTAAGCATAAATTATATTTTATTAATATTTTCTTTATAGGATTTGGGCAGCGACATAAAGAAGGAGCGTCTGTTCCTTGTGTGTCACGTGGTGAGGATCGGGTCTATGGAGCCGCAGAACGTTGATCACAGGTATTCTATAATAAGGTATAAAGTATTCTGTCAAACAATTGTAGTAATTTTACTATAAAATAGTCATTATTTATCTACTATTGTTTTTAATTATTTACCAATACATGGTTATACTTCGAATACAAAATAAAAAATGAACTCATTGACAGGATGACTTTGATTTGAACAGGATTTGAATCTGTCAAAATAACTCTTTTAAATTATCTGAACTAGTAAATCAGATTTGATGTTTTGCTCTAAGATATAAAGAGTTCTTACATGAAAAAAATAATATATCTGACTTAAAAACTTATAGAATATACATAGATACCGATAATCATATACAGGGTGACTGGTGAATTACTATCAATATTTAAGGAGGATACTCGGTACATGATTCTCATTCAAATTATGTAAAAAATAGGTACTTAATTTTTGACAAAATTTCCGTATAAATAAATAAAGTGTTGACACGTTCCAAGTGTTCCAAGTGTGGACGCGTGCGGCGGCGTGCTGATACAACACAACGCCGTTGCACTCGTATGTGTGAGTGTGGGTGTATACCTAATCTGTAGGGTGTTTACACGTTGCGTAATTAATTACATAACTTTTGGTTAACTTTACTTAGAAGTTTATTAATATTTATGTTATATTAATTTTTATTTTGTCATATATGATCGTCACAAATCACGTCCTCAAATATCGATAGTAATTCACCAGTCACCCTGTATATGTATAAACATATATATAATATTATATGTATTAACAGACGCAGTTCAATATCTCCGTCGGTGTGTGGCAACGGTATGCGTCGTCCGTGCGGCGTGGCGTGCGCTGATATAACACAACACCTCGCCAACGATCACTCCGACAAAGAAATACAGTTGCCGTTTTACGCGTTAGTATGGACTATACGTTAATACCTATAGAACAGAGTAATCTTACACTAAATACGAAATATTTCCAGTTTATCATCCAAAAACATTCATACTATTATGTGCCAAGATTTATGTTTGTGACTATTAACGCTCTGTCTTTCGTTATTTAGACTCAGTTTCACCAAAAAATCTTAAATAAGTAACAGCTTGTTAAGGCATTTGATGGTTTGTTAGATGTATCGAGCGTCCCACCACGTTTATGTCTATTTAAATGTCTTGACAAGACATTCATATCAATTATTGTTCTAGAGCTCCGTCAATGGCTAACGGTCTGTTAATCAATTGATAAAACGCAATATAAATGTCAATAAATGTTTCAGATGTGAGAAAGAGAATATGGATTCTTTGTTGAAGAAAGTCATTGGGAACTTGAAGGATCAGAAACACTCGCAAGGACTGTGGGTGTCCCTACAGATGGTGGAAGGAGATCTACAACAGGTTAACTAAACTATATAACTTGTATACTCTGTCTACTATATTCTGTCTACTATACTCTGTATATTATACTCTGTATGACTCGAATATTACCCAGATAGTGTAAATTACACTACAGGAATATTAAAATTCATCTTGAATAACTTTTTTACCTTTTATTTTAGTTAAAAAATCAAACGACAGCTTATTAAATACACACACACATACATTCACGAACGCACTCACACATTCATAAAGATATGTATATATTTCCTATAAATATAAGTGTATCACCAATCCCACTACAGGTATACTTTAAAATTGTCTTGAATGGTTTCAAACTTCAAATTACAGCGTAACAAACATACACACACACACATATATACAAACGTATATACAGGGTGACTGGTGAATTACTATCAATATTTAAGGACGTGGTAGTTGACGATCATATATGACAAAATAAAAATTAATATAACATAAATATTAATAAACTTCTAAGTAAAGTTAACCAAAAGTTATGTAATTAATTGCGGATCGCGTGGATACCCTAGCTGCGTTATCGACACAAAACAGTTATGTACGTAGGTATATGTAGTTATCGCGCGGTAGTTTACCTACATCCAAACGCCGCGCGCCGCCGCGCTTTAGACCTTAGATAAACAAAAATGATCCATTTCCCTTCATACTTTAATCCTGGCTTAGGACAGGCAAAAATACCAAGATATTTCTTTCGTTTAAGCAACCAATTTATTGACTAGGTAAATGGTGTGACCTTGACACAAAAAATAATATGAACTGTTTACCTATCTTGGTATTTCCGGCGTATTTAAAAATGGAATCATACTTATTTACAACAATTGTCAATCATTAAACTACCTATTTACCTACATAACTACACTAACCTTAACAAATGTTCAAAGTGAGCTCCTTCTCGTGTGATACACAGTTCGGCACGTTTACACATATTGTCTTTCACACGATTTAATACGAATGGGTCACTTTTAATAGTTTCGAAATCACTATTGATTTTTAATTTCAACTCCTCTCTGTTGACATACTCTGTAGCATACACAAGACGTTTCCTTGGGCATGTGTTGGAACACGGAACTGTCCGAAGTCTCGTAATCTTTGATTAGCGTTTAAGATGACGCTGGCCGTAGGTACTCGACGATTGGGGAACATCTCCCGGTACAAATTGATTGCGCCCGGCAAGCTTTCATTTGCACGCGCATACGCATGAACCATGTCCAAGTATTCTGCATTTGTGTATTGAAAAGCCATATTTCATTACTAATAAGTAATAACGGGTCACACGCACACACGACAGATTATTATTAGGTATACGCGTAAGATCGATCGCTTTGCGCGCGCGCGGGAAGACGAACGTACGGACCTTACGGCGGCGCTCGCCCGACTAATAGCCGACTAATGGCCCGCTAGCCACGGGGCGGGGGTTGGGGAGTAGCGACACATTTACATAATTCGAATGAGAATCATGTACCGAGTATGCTCCTTAAATATTGATAGTAATTCACCAGTCACCCTGTATATATATATATATATATATATATATATATATATATACATATAATATACTAGTTTATCACCCCAGGTCCGTCGTGAAAAACCCCACATGGTGGTTGGCAACACGGTGTTCGCTCGTAAGATGGGCTTCCCCGAGGTCATCCTACCGGGAGACGCCCGCAACGACTTGTACGTGACGCTGAGTGGCGGGTCATTCTCTAAGGGCGGCAAGTCCAGCGAGAGGAACATAGAACTCGTGGCTAGAGTCGTGGATAAGAATGGAAGGACGCTACCTGTGAGTAGAGCTTGTAATACAGAATATAACATATTATATGACGTCACATGGCATGTCAAGGTTTTGGAGTAGTGGGGATAAATTTGAGCATATACTTAGTGCAACAGAGAGTGGTCACTTTTGATACTGATCGATAGAAAATATTCGGAACAGTAACAAATATGTGGTCCAATTTAAATGCTCGCAAGTATACTCAGGAGCTATCATATAATATGACACATAAGTATCGCATCTATGGCCACGTAACTTGCCGGTTACTATATCAACAATTTAGATGTATGGTAGAAAATTCCTATAGGGTATAAAATCCTTGTAATTTTCCTGTAAAATTCAATATTTTCGTTATTATGTATTCTAATAAGGCCAATAAATGCTATTATATTATTTGTTTTTTAATTCCTTTATATCAATTATTCCAGGGTGTGATATCAGTAGGCGCGGGGTCTCCACTAGTAGACGAGTATACATCTGTAGTCTACTACCACGAAGACCGACCTCGCTGGCAGGAAGTATTCAAGGTTGAACGACTCACTTAATAATAATTAAATTATACTTATATTATTGGATTACTACAGTTATTTCATTACTAGCTGCGCCCCGTTTTGCGGGATGTAAAGTAGCCTATGTATTATTCCTGGACGTCAGCTTCCTGTATACAAGATTTTATCAAAATCGGTTCAGCCGTTTGAGCGTGAAGAAGTAACAAACATACACACACTCACAAACTTTCGCAATTATAATATTAGTAGGATTTTAACAACTATACATCTTGTCTTTGTGATCACGGTTGCTTTAAAGTAACAGAAACGTCGGGAGTTTGTAGTTAAAATAACGTTTAGCAATCCGAAAATATTAGTTCCATTAAAATGAATATTCAAAAAATTCTTAGATCTCATTATACTGATTGACATTGTATCGGTTATAGTTGTATGATAGAGTTAAGGTAGAAAAGACTTCATTATTCAATAATTATGGTCATGAAACGATAACGATTTCTACCAAAATTTTACTCATAATCCCACGGAGGAGAAAAATCGAATAATTGAACCGTTCACTATTTATAAAATCTTTTATTAGATTTTCGGATACATAATTTACTATATTATAACGCATAAAATTATATTACTATGAAAATTCTATTCAATAAGATTTGTTTCTATATAATCATACAATATAAATTCATAATCTATATCTTCATTAATCCCTACTAATATTATAAATGCGAAAGCAACTCTGTCTGTTTGTTACGCTTTACGCCTAAACTACTGAAATGATTTTAATGAAATTTGGTACAGAGATAAAGCTGATCTTAAGAAAGAAGGTTCTCTTGGAAACGCGATATAACCGAACTCCACGCGGGCGAAGCTGCGGGCGGAAAGCTAGTAATATATATAACTAAAACAAAACTGTTATATATAGGTGTGTCTGAACATAGAGGAGTTCAAGGAGGCTCACATGGTGTTTTTATGTCGTCACCGAAGCTCCAACGAGGCCAAGGACCGCGCGGAGAGACACTTCGCACTCGCATACCTGCGGCTCATGCAGAAAGAAGGAACTACTATACCTGATACTACACACACACTCGCCGTGTATAAGGTATACACACACACATAATATAGAAGATTCATTAGAACCTAATGAGTGGATATAGAGGAAAACTATGTTATTATATAATATATTAGTACTATACACCAACTGTGATGGTTTATTAAAACTTAGTATTGAAGATTTATTAAAATTATATATCTTTAAAGTAAATGAGAACTTATTAGTGAATATTAAGTAAAAAAAACTATATTATTATACTCTGGTATTATACACCAATTGTGATGCCTTGTTGTAAAGAATCACTAATAGTAGATATCTTCAGAAATAAATGAGAACTTAATTAGTTATATAAAGGAAACCTATAACATATACATTTATAACTTTCCCAATATAAATATCTTAATAATATGATAATTCCTTACACTTTATTTACCCATTTACAGATAGAACACAAGCGAGCCAGTTCAACCTCAGACCTCGACATAGAATCATCATCAGTATGTCTTGGCCTGCCGTCCACTCGGGACGAACTACCCGCGGGCTGCGAGCGAGGACTGACCCGAGGACCGCTATCACTATTACACAGAGACACGCTCTCTGTAGCTACTAGATTATGCTCTACTAAACTCACACAGAGAGGTATATAGGACTAATGTGATAGCTATATGAATGATATTACTAGTACACTGAGTGGATAATTAATTCTCATACAGAGAGGTATAACTTGGACTTTAAATGTGATAGCTATATCAATTATATTTGTAGAACGCTGAGTGGATAATTAAACTCACACAGAGAGGTACGACTTGGACTAATATGCTAACTATATGAATTATATTTTTAATACACTGAGTAGCTAATTCAAGTCACACAGAGAGGTACGACTTGGACTAATATGATAGCTATATGAATTACTAGCTGCGCCCCGCGGTGTTATTGTGTTATTTTCGGGATGTAAAGTAGCCTATATGTTATTCCTGGACGTCAGCTTCCTGTATACAAGATTTTATCAAAATCGGTTCAGCCGTTTGGGCGTGAAGAAGTAACAAACATACACACACACTCACAAACTTTCGCAATTATAATATTAGTAGGATATTTCTAGTACACTGAGTATTTACTTAAATTCATACAGAGAGATATAACTGCTTATTTAAATGAAACTATTTAAAATACAATATGAAGAGTAATATAATTAAAATACGCGTAGTAATACAAAAATATTACTATCATGTAAATGAATACTTACGAAAGTTTTAAATCTCATTATAATTATTTAGTCTTTAAATACAACTTAGTCTTTATTGCTATATGTTTGATATTTCTAATACAATAAGTACATAGCTAATGAATATTATATGTCTTCAATAGATCTTTTTGCTAAATTAATGATTCTTTGTCTACGGGATAAGTGTGGTGCTAATAAGTAATAATTTGCTTAGAGACGAAGTCTTTATTAATTAAGTAAGCTTGTAATTTGTTTAAGCCTGTATAATAAGACAAGCTTATTTTGAAATAAAACTAAATACATATTCTCAAAGTTTCAATTACTTTGCAACTATTGTTCACGGTCAGACATATAATATATCCTAATTAATATGTATATGTTCTAAATAAAACGCTGTTTATGTACTTCACAAAGGAAATTTTCTGATTAATAAGTTATATCTTGTAAATAAAACAATATTTATGTACTTTTCAGAGGAGATTCTGGGCGTGTTGAAGTGGAGCAATCATCAAGCAGACGGTTCATTAAAGAGTTCCCTCACAAGTCTACTGAGAGTACCTAACGACGAACTAGTGAAGTTCCTGCAAGATATACTAGACGCTCTATTCAGTATACTAACACAGGTTGGTCAGAATAACTATAATTTAAAAACATCTTTATCTGAAAATCTTGTATTATTAATATATCACTGATTAAGGATTTATTTTGTATTAATTTGCTTCTAAATGAAAGTATTCATCACACAGGTCGATCATAAAAACAATAAAATGATCATTGTCTGAACAGCCTGTATTTTTTATAAAACCCATTTAAGGATTTGTTTCTTATAAAATGAAAGCTTACATCGTGACCATCAATTTCTCCAAAATGCGTTATCAATTTCAGGAACTCCCTAACTAACATATAATATGAAATATTAATTTAGTATCCAATAAAACTACATAAAATTCCTAATATGTATATGCTAAGTATCAAGACTGTATAAAATAACCTAATACTAATAATACCTAAAACCTAGCTGATTAGTTCTCCCAAAGACTAGGACAAAATTTGCAAAAAAGGATATTACATCTGAGGCAGCACAACTTCACAACATATTTTAAGAAATAATTAATATACGAACGATGTAGCACACTTGTAATAATATCTTACTATCTTTAATTGAGTTTCAAATAATCTGGCGACTACTTTTGTATTTTCACTTTTGTATGTATGTTCTCATGTAAGTGACTATGTCTTTTTGAGGATAAATTCTTTAAACCTTTTAATACAATACATACTTGACATAAATATAATAATACCAATCAAGTATAACTAATACACAATAATAATAATGAATTCCTAATAATGTTTTTCTCCATATATATTTCCAGGTGGAAGAAGACGATGATTACACAGAGGACAGTTACTCAGTGTTAGTCCTGGACTGTCTGCTGCAAGTGATATCTCTGGTAGCGGACCACAAGTACCAACACTTCCTGCCCGTACTACAGGTGTACATAGACACCAGCTTCTGTGACACGCTGGCTTATGAGTTAGTATTACTATATATATACCTTCATTAGATAATTGAACTAAGTCATATGATTTATATCGTCGAGGACAGTGGAGTTCCGCGTAAGTCGTAACTAGCATTGGATATTTCCGCGTATCTACATTGAAAGCAGATTAATAAAAAAAGGTTTAAGATGAGATATTTTCTATATTGACGACTTTAAGGATTTTTTTTCACAATTAGTAATTATTTAATGTTTTATTTATTACTAATTGTGAAAAAATTATCCAGAGACAGTTACGCGGATTTGCACTATGCCCGACGATATGTTACATGTAGTTAGCTGAAATAAAAGATTCAAAACTCTTTAAAATTGTTTTTTTATGATGAAATTGTGATCTACTTGTATAGTATTTAATAAAACTATATTAAATTAGTCATATATGTATTGTGCTAAGTAGCAAACTGAATGACAGCAACTAATATACAAAAGTAATCTTCCTATATTACACTTGACATATTATGAATAGATAGTTGACCTAAATCATATTATTTCTATGTTACATACACATTGTTGGTTGTAATGTAATTGTATTATATTTGATAAAAATCACTGTTCTTAAACAGATACATACTATACAACACAAGTCCTATTAATGGTATGAAAGTTAAAAGTTGTTAAGATGTAAAGACGTTTGCTTTGAAATATACTGCACAGTTTTTGACGAAACTTTCCAATAATGCTTAGACATAAGAATAACAAATAGGTTATATATTATCTCTTCACTCGCAATATTTTTCACTAGAATACAAAGAGAGTTGTTTTGTGTAAGAATTTTTAATTTACTTATTTGTCAGTGGTGGCCTAGTGGTTAAAGGGCCAGCCTCTCGTTGCCGAGGGCGCGGGTTCAGACCTGGCAAGTACCAATGTGATTTTTCCGAGTCATATGTACTTTCTGAGAGTAATTAGACACCACTGACATACGGTGAAGGAAAACATCGTGAGGAGACCTTGATTTAGTTTCACAGTTATAAGTTTGAAATCACCAACCCGTCTAGAGCAAGCGTGGTGATTAATGCTCAAACCTTCTTCACGTGAGAAAGAGGGCTTTGCTCAGCAGTGGGCACTGATAGGCTGATGACGATTAATTTACTAGTCATTGTGAAAAAAACCTTTGGATGCATTTGTTTAGAAAATTATTAAGTTCAATTTCATCGATTCAATTATGATTCCATCGATTCCAGGCGTCTAATATCTATAATGGTGTGGTCGATCCGTTCCGCGGAGCGCGGCGAGGGAGCGTCCAAGAGACTGCTGCAGTGTATGAAGTGTCTGGAGAGTCTGACGCGCCTGTTGGTGCGATCACGACAGCTGCGGGCCGCGCTCGACGCGGACACTGGACACTGCGCGCAACTTCAGGTAAAAATACACCTAGATATATTGCAGAAATATACCTGGATGTGTTACAGAAATACACCTAGATATATTGCAGAAATACACTTAGATATATGCAGAAATGCACCTGGATATGTTGCAGAAATACACCTAGATATATTGCAGAAATACACCTGGATATATTGCAAAAATAAACCTGGATATGTCACAGAAATACATCTAGATATGTTACAGAAATACACCTAGATATATTACAGAAATACACCTGGATAGGTTACAAAACTCTGGAACACATTGATGGATTGCATATTATTATTATTGATATTTACATTGTCGGATTACTATAGTGCGTTTGAATTAAGCTGAGCTTTGCATTTGTGGGAGTGAACACGGATAGTGTAGGTGTAATGTTAAATTTTAGAATGCCACGTTCTTTTCTCGATATAAACCAGTTTATTCTGCTTTTACTCCGCCCCGCGCCATCCTCACTTCACTCTTTGTACGGGTAGCAACGTCAAATGTTGAAAACGCAAATTCAAGTGAAGAAAAATTTGTATTGTTTTTTCAAAATTTTTAGCGCTTAATAATTTTTTCCATAATATTTTCATTTGGCCTTTTAAAAGTTTTGCTTATTTTATTTTTAATCTAGAATAACTTAGGTATGTATTTAAAATATAATAGAAGTGAATTCTAAAAGATTTTTGTCTAACTCTACTTTCACTTTCACTCACACCAATGTAAAACTCAGCTTAAGTCTAAAGGACTATACGCGTATTTTATTCTTTTTAAAAACTATGCACATGCATATCCCGACGTTTCATTTACTACTAAAATAACGCGTAGTAATCTGGAACTATTAACCTCATTTAAATTAATACTCGCGGAAGTATTAGATCGTATTGATGGATTAGATTTACCTTTATGACTAACTAAAAAATACATATATTGCAATTTAATAGAGTCCAAGTTATCTATAGAAAGTGAATGATGTACATAGTATTTGCCAATGGATATGTTTTTATAATTACATATACAGGGTGACTGGTGAATTACTATCAATATTTAAGGAGCATACTCGGTACATGATTCTCATTCGAATTATGTAAAAAAAATAGGCACTTAATTTTTGACAAAATTTCCGTATAAATAAATAAAGTGTGTACACGTTCCAAGTGTTCTAAGTGTGGACGCGTGCGGCGGCGTGCTGATACAACACTACGCCGCCGCCGCGTCTGTGTGAGTGTGTGTGTATACCTAATCTGTAGGGTGTTCATACGATGCGTAATTAATTACATAACTTTTGGTTAACTTTTCTTAGAAGTTTATTAATATTTATGTTATATTAATTTTTATTTCGTCATATATGATCGTCAAATATCACGTCCTCAAATATCGATAGTAATTCACCAGTCACCCTGTATAACCAATCCCTCGTGAAAATTCTATTTTATGATTGAAATTGTAACATTTATATAAAGAGTCTTATGAAATGACAATATTATAAGCTGAATACATACGTACATTAAGTTCCCATTGCAAAATCCCACTCATTATAATTTTTACGTCCTTTGAGTTCAACATTTACTAAATAGTTCGAGACAGACATTTTTAGCACAACACACCGAAAGTCTATAATTTTGAGTCTAATCCCATAACATATAAGGTTTTATTAAACCTACTGTAAAGTTTTGCAACGGACTAAATAAATTTTACCTTATAAACAAACCACAAACAAAACGCAAACATTACCATAGATATCACTAATAAATATGTACATTTTAACAATACTTAAGTTATATATATATGTTCCCAGACTCTGTTAGAGGCGCTAGTGGGTCTCATGCGGTGTGGAGACTCCGCCCTCACGTGTCAGGGCTCCGCCCTCAAGTACCTGCCACACGCGGTCCCTCACATGATCAAGATATACGACGACACGCAGCTGTGGTACACACATATTTATATATTTCGAAGGGCAAACGAGCAGACGATCCATCAAATAAGGATGGCAACACATCCTTAGAATAGTTTAGCGGATATGTTGCCATCCTTATTTAGTGAAGAGTGTTAGGAAAGTGTGGGAAAAGGAAAGAGCAACAGTCTATCTCACTCATCAGAGAAAACACAGCCATTAAAGACTACTTCACGCCGATCTTTCATGAGAGGGTGGTATTTCCCCGGTCGAGCCAGCCCATGTTTGAGTTATAGTAACTGACCACAGCTAGGATCTACCACCTACTAATTCAATAGAATTTAACAATCTTGTGAACAAATATGATCAGCTGATATTGACATTTGTCTATGCCCCTAGTGATGTGAGTATTCAAGTGCACGTAAGAACGGAGTAATCGCAGTCAACTGCTTTGTTTACAATATTGCCAAATTTTTAGGTGGTAGAGCCTAGCTGTGGTTAAGTTACTACAGCTCGAACACGGGCTGGCTCGACCGGGGAAGTACCACCCTCTCACAGAAGATCGGCGTGAAGTAGTCAGTAATGACTGAGTTTCGTCCGATGAGTGAGAGAGCCGGTTGCCCTTTCCCTTTTCCCAACCTTTCCTTGTATTTCCTTATTCCCACCCTTCCCTATCCCTAAAAAGAAAAGGCTGGCAACGCATCCGCAACATATTTGTTGCGGATGTCCATGGGCGACGGTAACCACCTTCCATCAAGTGGGCCGTCTGTTCGTTTGGCACCTATAACATAAAAAAAAAAAAAAAATCTATTGAAATGAACTGAACCTACATACCAATAGATCTTTATTGTAAATACTTACTTTTCATATATGAACTTATTATATACAATAAAATTATAGTAATTAATATTTTCACCAAGAAAATAAGCAGTTTGTGTTCATAGAAGTCACATACTTCATTTTAAGCCATCGTAGTGAAATTTACTTATAGATAACTGTTCTTCTTATTTATAAACACTTATTATAATACTGTAATACCTTTACCTAAATACTTCATATGAATCAATATTATTTCTCGAATTTCATATAATTTTTTTTCAAGAATTCTGAATTTGTATTTTTACTTCACTATAATTATTAATATACTAGCTGCGAGCCGCGGTGTTACCCGCGGATTTCCGGGATGTAAAGTAACCTATGTGTTATTCCTTGACGTCAGCTTCCTGTATACAAAATTCTATCTAAATCGGTTCTGCCGTTTGAGCGTGAAGAAGTAACACACATACACACACACTCACAAACTTTCGCAATTATAATATTAATAGTATATTATTTTGAAACCATTTTAATTTATATACGATATTATTTTCAGCGAATATCTAGTATGGGCGCTAGAAGCCCTCCCTCTCTCTCGTCTATCCAACCAACGTCTCCACGCGCTGCTCGAGCTAGTGCGGGGCCCGCTGGGGGCCTCGGCGGGCCCTCGAGCCAAACTACTACCACACCTGGCCAGTACCTTGCGGGCCTTACTGAGGAATCCCGCTGATGTAAGAACAAAATTTATTACACACACACACATATATATACACACACACACATACAAGCCATAACATTTCGTGTAACTCTTAACAAATCATTCGTTGGGAACATATCACGAGAAATAATCATCATGGAATATATAATTATTAAAGTCGGTGCGAAATAAGTACACACGCTTATGCTGACAGGACACTTGAGTTATGACACTCGACACTAGACACATGAAACTAGACACATGACACTAGACACTAGATGGTGCTGAATGTCACGTGTATTAACTGTCCGTCCGTGTTCACTGCAGTGTTGGTATGTATGCACTATTGTTATTGGAAAGGTTCTATGACTCGGCAAAATAATTAAATTAAAAGTAATAGAAAATTATTTAATTTAAACTCGAATATGCCAAGGGACGAATAGTTTTATCTCATAAACAGTAGACAACTAAAATTATAAATTATTATTGTAAGCCTCTATTTGTATTTGGATTAAAATAATGATTGGAATATTGTCCTTTTAATTAGAAAATTATAATACACAAAGTTATTTTGTGATTTTTTTTAAAGAAGAGCAATGATGTCTGTATTGAAACCAAAAGTGCCAACTTAATAGATCTTGAAGTTAGAAATAATATAGAGCCTATACCAAGTATTCCTTCATATTAAATATTATTTATTATGAATTTAAATCAAAGTATACTTTGATGAATAGCCTTAAGTCATACAGCCTTTCCATAGTATTAACGAATCCTGTGTGCGACAGTCGAAGGTAAGACACGCTAAGCATGAGCCTGGGTCACATACATATATGTAAATGTACATTTCAATGAAACTTATATTTTTCGGATTACATTAAATGTTGGATCATCACGTCTTAAAGATCACGCATGCTGCAAAATAACCGAAATGTCGGGAGTATAATAATTACATGTAAACGTATAGTAATCCGAATATATTAGTTTCATTTAAATAAATACTCGCGAAAGTCTTAAATCTCATTATATATAAAACATATTGAAATAGCTTTGAATTATCACCTATACTACTAAAAAGTAGTACTAAGTAATTTATTTGTGTATTTTTGTGAATAAAGCTATTTTAATATAGCATCATTATTCTTGTATTAAATTGGAATAATTTTGCTTTGGATTTTAGGTTTAGTTGGGTTAATCATATATTTGGAATAATTATTGTACTGAGTGAAAATTTTATTACGTCTTTCCATTTTTTTGTCAATCTATTACAACCAGATTAATATAAGAGCGCAACAACTCGTTTCATTTGACCGTATTAATTCATATTAATTTCTTATTTAATTTTTACCATCGATATGAATATACAGATTTATATGGGGTATGTTTTTCTATGATTGATTATCCATTCTCCTATTACATAATATAATTTTAAAACCGTCAATCAATAATTTGTAGTAATTTGCATAAGATAAGAAGAAAGTTTCACTTGCATCATGGTTTAAAAAAAATAAGATTATTCCAAATATATATAATATAAAGATATTGATATAAGAGAATAAATTGCAAATGGTCATTATAAGTGTCGAGGAAAAGGTAAGTTCATACAATACGCAACTAACTCTCACGTGTGATAATTAACTGTAATTGCAATAATGCAATTGCAAGCTGGTGTTGTATAATGCTTTGCATGAAAAAGCAATTAACATGAAAAGTGTTATTTAAATCTAACTAAATAAAATTATATTTACTGATTTCTTTTTGTATTGTAAATAAATTAAAGTAAAAAAATATGGTTATAAATGAAACTAATATTTTTCGGATTACTACGGGTGTTTTATTAAAAAAAAACTACTTTTATTATTTTACTTAGTTATTTAAAAGTAAGGGAGTATGTAGTTTTTTAAATAATAAACTAGTCGTAGTAATCCGAATTATATTAGTTTCATTTAAATGATTACTCGCGAAAGTCTTACATCTCATTAAATATAGTTTTATTTATCGAAGCATGTTTATGATTGTATTGATATCAAACATTGAGATTAAATAAAAAAACTATAAGGCACTATCATCGTGAGGATGCACACAATGTATTCTAACAGTAATGTTTTAAAATATAATGAAAAAATAAATAAAAATATATCTATATACTAAATAAATCTTGACATGTAACATAATTGTACTCTAATTATTATTATTATATAAACATATATGTATTATGTAACTTATATTATTTATATTACATGTTGAAAGATATTTATTTATGTGTGTGCATGATATCACGAGTGTCAGATAAATCACAGAGCTTAGCTAAAAAAACATGACATCATATAAAATAACATGTTCATATAAAACATGTTCACGTTGAGACAAAAATAGTGATTAATTGAAAAAAAAATATGGAGAAATCAATTGGAATTAAATTTTGGGGGTTTTTAACTTGTCATGTTTAAAATATCGTGTTTGGTTGTAAGTACATGTGGTTATTGGATAGTATATTTTGTATTGTCAGCTTAACATGTGTGAGTGTGCGTGTGTCACCATACTAATGTATATATACATATATATTACACGAACATCACTCACACAGATAAATGACACAACACACAAACGTTATGAGAAACTTGACTTACAGTGTGGATTTAAATATATAACTCGTTTTGAGTAACACTTAAAGGTTTTATACTAAAGCGAGCTTTCGATGTCGCTTGCTCTATTGTGTGCAAACTCCAGATGTAGCATGAGAGACGCATATAAATATACGGAAATCTATTTGAATTAACATGTTCTTTTTATACTCTCGAAACATGATATATCATAAAAAAAACCTTCATTTATTAAAAACTCGTTTGGTTTTCTAATAACATGACATGTCATAAAACAACGCGATTTATTAAAAATATAGTTTGTCCTCTAAAAACATGATGTCATAAAACATAAATATGACATCTTTAATTTAAAAAATATGTCTTCTAGAAACATGACATATCATAAACCCAAAATACATGACATGATAAATAATAAAACATGTTGATTCACTTAGAATATTTTAGTTGGTGTACGCTTAAAATAAAACAGAGAAACTAATGAGATGACACACTGATCGACATTGTGTTTTCTCTATATATATCTAACAATACTGCTTTGTAAGCGCCGTATTACCGTCATTAAATGCGTGTGATTGATCATTACAATAAAAGTGATAAAAGTGTTATAAGTTATTTTTGTTAATGTTAACATTTGAGGACGTAAATCAATAATTTCATATATTTTTTCATGTAACTTTTGCAGATCGGTAAATTAATACATTAAAGTTTGTCTAAACAAATATTTTGTTTATTTTGTCAATACTTTTCATGTGTTGTTTAATAAGAAAGAAAAACAACAAAATATTTTTCTTTTTAGATTTTTTCCTAATAATTTTCTATTACCTTCCTTACTATAAAAAGATTATGCAATTAAGTTCGTATATCTAATAAATATATTTTTTAATCCATTTTCACATGGGGTGATAAAAAAATTCTTCATACAAATTTTTCCTAACAATTTTCTATTACCTTTCCTGCCATAAATACATATAAGGAAATAATAGGTATATGCGACAAATACATTTGTAAATCCATTTTCATATATGTAGAATAAACATTAAATGCCCTAAAAACTAGCAAAGTATGTCCTCAGATGTAAAAACTATCACACATCCTATCTACTGGCCATTCATTCGCCTCTACCCTGGCTATTTATTCCCATCTTGTGGTAGAAAATGGTCTGTCTCAATAACTATCGCACATCATAAATACATCGTATATGATCAATCACTCGCTATATGACATTCCTCCGTCCGCCGGCGTGGTGAGTGTTGGTATGTCACAGTTGGACACGCCGCACAAGTTACGGTCGGCTGACAAGGCTGCCAGGCTGCTAGGAGCAGACACCGCGAGTCTACTAGATCACACGCAACAGATGCAGATCGTATGTATAGAAGATTCATTTGTACACTCACAGATGAATAACACCTGAATTATACCGGAAAAAACATTACTTATAGGTTAAGTATAAAGATATAGACGAATATGTAGGTTAAGCAGTTACGATGGACTACGAAATAGCTTAAATTATAGATTAGGTTGTACTATTAAGATAAGGTGAGGTAGGTGTGACAGGACAAAAAATATAAGAGCTCGCAAGAAAGATTTAGTTTGTAATAATTGTAACGTTTGGTTTGATTGTATGAAGTGATAAATGTATTTTAGCTTGTTTTAAATATAACAGCTTCCTAACAGCTTAGAGGATAACAGTAAAATCATGATTTGAAAAGGTTGAGGAGATTTACTACATCATAGTATTTATCATAGTTCTGTAAATAAGTTTTAGTTGAATTAACACTTGTATAGTTGAGCTTGAGTTGTCGTTCGTTGATGTTATCTATATTACTAATCACATACATAATTTAACGCAGCGTTGTCCAAGGGAGCGAAGGTTAGTTGTCTTCCTATTAACCCAGCACAAATCCTTAATGAGCACCAAAAATTATATACCTTGAATGTATTGAAAAAAAATGCTATTAGCTGATGAAATATTTTGCATCAGGTGGAGTTGTGTGTGGAAACTTTAGGAGAAGTAGTTTCTCTTCTCGCGAGAGATGATGTTGGTCCAGTGGCTGCGGATAGAGGTGAGCTGGCGAGATCTTTACTACCGACGGTCTTGAGGATAGCTAACAACATAATGAAGGATAGAAATAAAGAAGATGGGACGCCTCATGATGATTTACTTCCGGTGAGTGCTAAAATAAACTAAGATTTTGACTAGATTTATCCTAAACTGAAATCCAATAAGATCGTAATATATCAAATTCCAGATAGATAAAGAATATTTGACATAATTGAATACATATATAAACAATTAACACTTAGTTTAAGAAAAACATTTTATCTATTCTCAAACATTAAATATACCCACTTAAAAATTATAACGTCTTTAAGTAAGAGTGTGCCGCTCGGAGAATAATCAGAATTTTATTAATTTCGTCCTACCTTGAATTTTACTTTTAGTTATGGACTTTCCTCCAGTACTAAAATCTTTAAAATCAATAATTATATTTACAGTACAGTAAAATACTACTGCCTTCCTACGTCTTATAATACGATTTAGAAAAAAATCTATTGCAAACTCTGTGGTGGTAGAGCCTAGCTGTGGTAAGTTAGTACAGCTCGAACATGGGCTGGTTCGACCGGGGAAGTACCACCCTCTCACAGAAGATCGGCATGAAGTAGCCTTAAGTGGCTGCGTTTTGTCCGATAAGTGAGAGAGCCGGTTGCCCTTTTCCTATTTCCCACCCTTTCCTACCATTTCCTTATTCCCACCCCTTTCCTATTCCTAAAAAAACAAGGTTGGCAACACATCCATAACAAACATGTTGCGGATGTCCATGGGCGACGGTACTACGTTTCACCATGTAGGCCGTCTGCTCGTTTGCCACCTTTGACATAAAAAATAAAAAAACTTAAATATATATCAAGATAATTTAAGTTTCATAGTTCTTAATTTCTCTATTTTGTTCTCTTAATGTTATATTTGTTATTATATTCCTAATTTAGTGTAGGCAGTTAACAAAATTTGTGAACTCCATTGTTAAAACTGCAAAATTATAAGGCCTTCTTTAATACTATTTGTTTTACTTTTCAGCGTAAGTTAATATGCGTGCTACTAGACATGATGCGTCAGATGTCTCTAGAGCAGTACACGTTAGTGGTGCGCTCTTTGGGAGGGGGCAGAGCCCTAGCCGCGGATATTCTGTCCTTCACGGGAGCCCTACTCGCACGACCAGTGTTCAAACAGCACTGGGCTGATATGCTGCATTTGCAGCACTACGTTATGCTGCACGCTTTGAGGTACTCAATAATAATAAAGTCCCGTTTATTTCCAATCTACAATTATTTTTACATGCTTTTTTTGAATAAATATAACTATGTACAATTAGTTATTTTAAATATAAATCTATATACATATGTATGTATGTAAAAAGGGCAGTTAGACATTATTGAATATTTCACGTAAATTTTTAATTTGCTAACAAATAATATAGATGAATTTATTGATCTTTTTCTTTTTTACTTCTCTTACATAATATTATATAAGATATATCTATGGTTTTATGAAATAACAAAAATCCTTAAAACTCTACAAGTTCAGCATATATAGTAAATACGAATATTTTTGACTACGCGTTGTTGAATTAATGTTTGTTACCATTTCACGCAAAACCAAAAATTTGGATTCTGATACATTTTTCTAACTGCTATAGTTTAGAGATCAGAATAATATATAGCTTATGAATTTATTCAATAATTTCATTTCATTCTCTAACGAACACATCATGTATTCGAAGTCACTTGATAGTATATAGAGGTCGCTACTAGTTTGTTCCCATATCTATCATAATAGGAGAAAGCAAACAAATCGATAAAATCTAGTAACAATTTACAACTATATTATATATATGCAAATTAAGTCGATAAAACCTAACTAGCATTTATATCTATATTATTTATATCACAGATTATTAGCAACATCACTACGAGAGGATTTAAACGAGGAGAACACAGAACAATCACACGTACATTCAATGTTACAAGAATGGTTCGTTACACTAAGTGCGTTGGCGTGCTCTAAACCTTTACAACTAGAAACATTACCAGCAGCGAGGAGACAGAGGGCTGTCATACTGTATGGAGATATTAGAAGAAGCGCTGCTACCTTGATGGCTGATATATGGTTTAGTCTTGGTAAATAACATAGTAAAAGGAATTTTACAGTTAATATACTATGTTAAGGAGTATTTTATGTATTCATATGTCTTTTACAAATGGTTCGTGTAATAATAATAATATAATGATAGCTTTAAATTATCGAATTTGGATCGAATGTCATGTTTAGTCTATTCTAGGATATATCTTAGTGTTTTGACGTACTATATTCATGTATTTAGGTAAAAGAATGGAAATTAAATAAAACACTATGTAATCAAAGTGTTTATTAACATACCTAGTACTAATATAGCAGACTGAGCTTGAAGAATGAGAATTTTAATTTGTCATCAAAACAATTACTTTAGTCCCAAATAAAATAATGTTATGTATGAAGTTAAGAAAACCGGGGCTACTAATATGATATTTTATTAATATTAGTAATTTAATTATTTATATACAGATATCTTATCATATTACTTCAGAAATTGATAATTATAGTAATATCTCACAACTGAACACATACAGTTATATATACAGTCTAGTGATATAAAAGGCAGTTTATTAAAAAATAATATATATTTTCAGAGGAACACAAGAGATTCTTCATCCCATCACTAGTGAAGCCGTTCCTTGAAGTGAGCTTTCTTAGAGATGATGAAGTTAGAAACACTACGATACCCTTGTTCTATGATATGATGAAGACCGAGTTCAAATACACCGCTGACACTGAAGGTAACTCTCCTATTAACCGACGTGAGGAAAAGAGGGGTTGTGTATTTAAAATCATGTTAGGACTTATATCCTAGCTGTAGTAATAGAAATAATATTTTTAATAAGTATCAGTTATATACATTTTAAGCATCAAGTCAGACATTATTGGTGAATAAGATTTTTATTTTTTATTTGTGTAAATTGGAATACTTTTTTTGTAATATGTTCATCAATTATTATATTTTTTTGTAATTTGTTAATAACCATTTTTAAATATGTAGATTTTAAATCTAGTATAAGAAATGTCGAGCTAGGGTAAAATTCTCAAAGAAATGTATAAGAAAATTCAATCTATATTGTTAAGAATCGACTCCGCCACATCCACTCATAACGTTTGAAGTCACTTTCCCAATTGAGGTATCGTGTTCTGACTTGTGTTGGAGATTTAAGCTTTATTTAAACATATCTCTCATGCATGAGGGCGCGGGTTTGAAACGTGGCAAGTACCAATGCGATTTTTCCGAGTCATATATACTTTCTAAGATTATTTAGACATCACTGACAGACGGTGAAGGAAAAAATCATGAGGAAACCTGGACTTATAATTTCAAATAATAAGTTTGAAATCGCCAAATCATTTTGAGCAAGCGTCATGATTAATGCTCAAACCTTCTCTATTTAAGAAGAAGTCTTTGCTCAGTAGTTACCTCTGATAGGCTGATAATGATAAATATATCAGAATTTAATATAATGAGAATAACATTAAATGTTTCAGGTGAAGGAAATCTACTTCGTCTAGAAAATGAGTTGATCGACAAGCTAGACGTACTAGCTGAGTCTGGCCTTGGAGATGCGGCGTGGCGGGCGAAGTTCGTATCCATGTGTGGAGCGGCGTGCGTGGCGGGTGACGGCGAGCTGAGCGTGGCGGGTGGCGCTCTAGTCGCCGCGGCTGCACGACAACTGGACGCCTTGCTACAGTACAGAGCGGCGCCCACACATCATAGAATGTACCTCGTGACCAGTGTACTGAGGTTCTACGAACAAATCAAACGACCTCACATGTATATACGGTGGGTAGAATATAAGTATTGATATAGAATAAGAAATTCTAGAACTAGATTAGTTAATTTCTAAACTAATTACTTTATATACTCATCTTATATTCGCCCGTATTAATATATATTTACAAGCTAATCATCCTAACCTATTCAATCTTACAGCTATGTTCATCGTCTAGTATCTATGCATCGTTCTTCTCAACACTGGGCAGAGGCCGGTCTTACATTACAACTACACGCCAAGTTATTAGATTGGAGCGAAACGCCCTTGCCACCTCGACTAAGACATCCCGCGTGTGATGACTATCATACACATCTGGATTTAAAGGTAGTTAGACTATATAGAATAGAATAGTTACTAGTATAGTATAAAAAATGATTTAGAATTGTCTTACACGAGATATATGTGAGAAAATAAAATTAATATGTTCGGATTGCTACGCGTTTTTTTAAAGTACGTCTTCCCGATTTTGGGTCACTTTGCAGCTACCGTGATCACAAAGATATGATCAATACAACAATACAATACGTTTTTAATCCGAAAATATTAGTTTCATTTAAATGAATAATACTCACAAGTCTTATCTCATAATATACAAGAAAAGTATTATTACAGACCTTTAATATAACTGTCCATACTTACAAATAGAATATTTATTATAATAATAATCCAGTTCATAATACTTATCTATACATATATTAATCATGTATAATGTATGTACAGATAGCGTTATACCAGGAGGTAGCCTCTCTATTAGAGAAGGGTCACCAGTGGGAGTTAGCCGTAGAGGTTGTGAAGGAGCTGGTGTGTGTGTACGAGGAGCGAGGCCAGGGGTACGCAGCCCTCGGCGCGCTGCACGACCAGCTGGCGCGCCTGTATCGAGCACCCCTGGAACATACGAGGTTACAACCGGTGTACTTCAGAGTACGATACCTGGGCAGGGGATTCCCCGAACATTTGAGACATCCCAAGGTAATGAATTAATATATAGTACACTGTATGTATATTTGTAATTAATGTAAGACATATTGTTGGGAGTAATATTCATAGATGATTTTTAAGTGTCAGCTATTCTAAGGATTTCAATATAAAGCCTGCTGTGAACATTGATAGCGTATATGGGAGTCATGATAAGAATATTCATTCTCTAATGAAATAAATAATGTATGAAAATATGAAATATATTCAATATATTTTAACTCCCTCTCTTTCTTTAGAGTAGAGTAGAGACAGAAAAACATCCAAATTACAATTAATCCTTCTTAATAATCATAAATAAACCACAAAACCTCATCCTTGTACTAAATCCATATGTCACTATGTATTCCAGGGGTTCGTATACCGCGGTAACTCGTGTGACATGCTGCATAACTTCAAGGAGCGTATGTTGGACGAGTGGCCGGAAGCGGATGTGCTGCTCAAGCTGGACGAGCCCGGAGCTGACGTCACGGACTCGGACGGACAGTGTATCCTTTATATACTAGATTAGGACTGCGACTGCTCCTACAGAGACAGAATTAATAATTTATTATTGAATAAATATCGGACTGGCACCGCCATCTATGTGTTGTCACGACTTCGTATGAAATAATACTTTTATGACGATGAATTAGAGTTTCTTTAATTAAAAACGGCCTATATGCTGATTTTCTTATGTCCAAGCTATGTCACTACACATTTTATTAGCATTAGCAAGGTTGGTTCTGTCTAATATTGTTTAAAAATATTTTTTATCTAATCTCTAAGTGGCCACTCCTTCAGTTACCTTCTGGCAGACCTGCCAGCGAACTTAAGCCTCAAAGTATGTTAAATAGCTTCAACTTAACATATGTAGACGTAAAATTAACATTCATTCATCCATGCTGATATATTTTAATTTATTATATCATGAAAGAAAGCAATGTATTGTATCACCTCTTGGACTTCAACAAACTACTATAGAAGTAATAGACATAGTTTGTAAGTTAAATACAAAGGTTTAGAGACTTTTATTCAAATTATAACCATGTTTCTTCTCCCGGTTCTGTCCGTATATATCCTTATCAAGCATCAGTCTTACAAATCAACGCCGTAACGCCGGTGATGGCTGACAAGTGGAAGAAGTTCCTGAGCCGAGCGGTGGACCATCAGGTCGTTAGTTACTACGAACACAACAACGTTAACACGTTCGTGTACTCACGACCCTTCCATAGAAACGGTAACTTCATATAGATGGCTCCTATGTATAAGGTCTAATGTGAAAAATGATCATTTTACAGTATAGGCGTTTTGTTTGATTGCAATGTATCTTGTACATGCGATAACTGATGTTTTTGAAACTTTGCATAGAAAGTATGACATTGAAATTTCTACATTGGCCCTTATACATAGGACCCATTGATATTTTGCTATATAACATAATAACAGCTTTTTTTTAATGATATATGTAAGGTATATAACAATATTGTATACAATATTTATATTTGTTTATTCTGAATAATCTCTGTTATTATTGCACCTATTATGATGGGACTTTCTCTGACTGATAGCTGAAGAAGTAGAGAATAACTTTCGCCACAAATAGTGATTTTATAGTATATAATTTAACAAAATAACCCCTGCATATATTTTAATTATAATCCTCAAAAACACAAAACAAGATCAACATGGCCAAAATAGGTCAAGTAGCAATATATCTTACTAAACGATGTTCAAAATAAAAAAATAATAGAACAAATTATTTGTTTTTGTTTATTAAGTTCACTGAAAATGTATGAAGATTTGAATTTTTTACTCCAATAAAACTAAGGACAAAGGCCCTACAGCTTTGGTGTCATAATAATATATACTCAGGGGGACAAGTTTTAACGGAATACAGTATATGTTTTTACTGGCCGGCGCTTATTTATTTCAGCCAAGAAAGATAATGTAAATGTTACATTAAACAGATTTTGGCAAAAGTGTTACTAATATCCCTACTTCTATTCTTAGGTACTAACCTTTTTATATATATATATTTCAGATGACTGTATCATCGATTCTCGCGACGACCGCACCGGCGCCGGAGAGTTCGCTACCAGGTGGCTGGAGAGGACCGAGCTCACTATAGCACACGACCTGCCCGGTACGGAGAGAGAGAGAGTTATACAGATACATAGAAAGGGAGAGAGAGAGAGAGAATGACTGACTCACATACATAGACACTGAATTATATGTGTATCAAATAGTTATAATATTGTAACTTAATGCTTAGCAATGTTTAAAATTAGACCCAAAATCAATTGTACTTCAAAATCTACTTGGCTTATAGATCCACTCTTCTAGCGTATGCTTATCGACACAGTATGTCTGCACGTGTCTTATAACTACAATTTGAGGGTCTTGGCTAGAGTAAACAGGCACTTATTACTGTAATTTATAATATTAAAACGTCTCAAAATTAATGAGATCTGAGTTTTTCGGGAGTCATTAAAATGAAACTAATATTTTGTGGATATACTACGCGACTTTATTTTTGATATTGATTAGTTTCGTCTCAAAATAACATCATACTGTCGCAATTTTAGATCTACTTTGTCTTTCGACAAAAAATTTTAGTCTCATTGAATATTACATTACTATGCGTAAACCACTACTTATCAAAGGTTCAATAGCTACTTTAGTACATTAATATCACACATTAAACTTCAGTTAATAGTGATTACGGAGAGTGATTAATTCTGATGTAAATAAATCAATATATATTTAATACTTCAGGTATCCTTCGTTGGTTTCCAATCGTATCAACCCGGACCTACTGGGTGTGTCCTCTCGAAGTGGCTGTAGAGACGATGACTCACACTAACAAGGAGCTCAAAGGTCTCATCCACTCTACCTTGAGCCCTTCCGCCCCACTACATCCCCTCACGATGAGGCTTCAAGGTATCCTGGACTCAGCGGTGCAAGGAGGGTTAGCGCAGTATGAAAAGGCATTCCTCGCGCCCGCCTACCTCGAGAGACGACCAGAACATAGAGAACTACTCGGAAAACTGAAAGATCTCATCGCACAACAGATACCGTTACTCAAATATGGTGAGAATTATAATTATACATAATTATCATCAGTATTGCATTCGATTTTATTAAAAATCGGTTTAATATATTTTTGTATGCAATAACCCTTTTTAAATGAATTGAAATTAAATAGAAAGTGATTTAGTACAACTATATATTGTTATAGTTAAAAACTACATGAGAGTTCAATATACACAAATGTAATAATTTTAAATTAACTTCTTATTTATGTTAGTACTTATTTCTTTGTATGAGGTACTTGTTATGTATACACTGTATTAACACTGACTTAACTCGAAAAGTATATACCTAAGTTAGGTAAAATTGGTTAGGTAACCTAACCAATTTTACCTAATAACAGTAATAAGTTTTATTGTATGGTGTTATTTGTAATTAAATAAATATAATAAACCCAGGTCTTGAAGTGCACGCGTCCCGGGAGCCCATACGAGATCTACACGCGAGACTTATTAATTTGTTTAGAGAAAAATATGGAAGACAGGTGAGATGCACAATATATAGTAGGGAGAAAATATCCACTATTTTGTTTGAAGTCAGTATTTTTTCCATCTGGTAAATCCTACAATAAGTAATCATTGACGTTATACAAGCTTATATGTTACTTGTAATGTATGTTTGTCTGTTAATATGGAATGGAAACAACCTTATTTCAAAAATATAAAAGATTGCGTCGAAGTTTTGTTTACGTTCCATTAAGTTGGTCAAGATTGGTAAGAGGTATGACGTCATTCTAAATCCTAAAGGGCGGAACTCCCAAGAAAACGGAGTAGATACATACGCTGCAATAGTATAACTATCAAATAAAAATGACTTCTGACGATAAAAAAAAGTCTTTAAAAGAAGTTCTTATAACTAATCTACAGTTATATCTTGAAGTCAATAACTATTGATGATCTTAGCTTCTACCATTTTGAGTATATTGGTGATCGTTAAGAATAATATTTTTATTTCCAGGTGTACGAGGGAGACTCCGACCCTCCAGAGGTCCAGCTGAGACCTTCAGCGAGGAGAGACAACGACAACAGGCTGTCGGACCTGTCCGCGGGGAACGAGTGAGACTGAGATAGATATATAACACACACAGACACACACACACATACATGACAGTATAGCGACACACACACACACATGGCTAGCGGGGTAGAGGTCTACACACATAGATATTGCATACATGTAGACATACATATATTTAAATGAAACTAAGATTTTCAAATAACTACGCCTTTTATCATATCTGCGATTCTATTACTTTGCAGTTTATAGCAACAATGATCAAATGAAATGAAAATAAACGAAATGAAAGTATCTAGATACACCTCAATAAAAAATGTGTCTCAAATGGCCATTCATAAAGCATATTTCATATTTTAATTTTAGTTTACTACAGAAACTAGGAATAGTAGCCTTCGAGGCTTGAAGAATGTGTTCGAAAAAGGGGAGGACACACACGTTACTGAATATATTTATATATATTTCTTTTAATCCACTAAAAAACATGGTGGCCCTTATTTTATTTTGACTAGTATATATTTAATTTTCTAACAAACACATTTCACTATTTCAGGACGACGCCAAAATCTAAATTCTCCTTCAACTCGGCGATCAGTTGGACCAGGTAATGATTTAATACATGAGACAAATATATAAAAATGTTTACAGTGTCATATGATCATTAACTAATATTTCTCATAGATAATTTTTTGAACACACTATAGACGTGACAACGTTCCCAGTTTTCCTCATTTCCTATTTATACAGGGTGACTGGTGAATTACTATCAATATTTAAAGAGCATACTCGGTACATGATTCTCATTCGAATTATGTAAAAAAAATAGGTACTTAATTTTTGACCAAATTTCCGTATAAATAAATAAAGTGTGTACACGTTCCAAGTGTTCCAAGTGTGAACGCGTGCGGCGGCGTGCTGACACAACAACACGCCGCCGCGCGCGTATGTGTGTGTGTACCTAATACCTAATCTGTAGGGTGTTCATACGATGCGTAATTAATTACACAACTTTTGGTTAACTTTACTTAGAAGTTTATTAATATTTATGTTATATTAATTTTTATTTTGTCATATATGATCGTCAAATATCACGTCCTCAAATATCGATAGTAATTCACCAGTCACCCTGTATATTTCGTTTATATGAGAATATACTTCATACTCTTGCTCTCCTTCCCCAAAATCTTTGAAACCTCTCCTTGAAAATTTGCATATTTCATCAATTGGAAGACGTTTTTTCATTAACTATCATATCACATTCAATTTTAAAATAATGCTTGAATATATTTCAACAAAACACATTTTAATTCATTATATTAAAATTACTTATATTTTCACAGAAACAGCAGCACCGCGACCCTCACTCCTCGTCACGGGAAACGAGTTAAAAACAGAAAGGTTAGTGGAAATATATTATATGTATATGAAAAAACTATATTTTTTTTTATGGGAAAAGGGGGCAACTGAGCAGACGGCCTACTTGATGGTAGGTAGTTACCGTCGCCCATGGACATCCGCAACGTAGATTTGCGGATGTGTTGCCGCCCTTGATTGGGGAAACGGAGGAGGAAAAGGTGGGAAAGGGAGGGAAAGGGAAGGTTGGGAAAAGGGAAAGGGCAACCGGCTCTCTCACTCACCGGACGAAACGCAGCCTTTAAAGACTACTTTACGCCGATTTTCTGTGAGAGGGTGGTACTTCCCCGGTCGAGCCAGCCCATGTTCGAGCAGTAGTAAATTGACTACAGCTAGGCTCTACCACCTCTAAACTTATACTTATATTATACTTATAATATAAACATGATGTTAATGAGGATGTATGTTGCTCTTGAACGTAAAGTATACTGAATTTGTTTTGATAAAACTTTGCAATGATGAAGTTTACACACCAGAATAATACGTAGATAATAATTTATTAATATATTCTATAGAACTATTTAAAAGGTCATATAAACTTTGTATGAAGTCGTATTACATACTATAGATGGCGCTGCCAGTTACCTTAACAAATTAAATCTTGTTATATTTTTAATTGATTATTATTAAATTTTTATTAAAATTAATGAAATAATTATTTAAAGTATAATATTATTTCCATATTTAATTCCAGAGTGAAGTAAGTCTCCAGTCGAGCACTAGTCAATGGTACGCGCCCACGAACGGTAACGTGAGCGCCATCAACAACGCCATCAACAGCGCGTTCAATAGCGCGCTCATCAACAGTAACAACAATATCAACGGGAACTCACACGGAGAGTCATCGCCGCTTAGAGAATTGAGGCAGGAGGTAGTCGATAAAAGTTGCTTTTTATTGACATTTTTCATAATATAAGTAGATATTTTTGCTTTTTAAGTAATTTCATTAAACAACATGTCTATTTATTTACAGTAAAACAGGTTTCCTCATATATATAAAATATATTATTTATAAATAATTGTTGTGTGTTTCCAGTTAGTGTCTGAGCGTCCCCCGCGGGCTGAGGAGCGTGAGCGGCGACTGTCACAACGGACAAGCTACATTACTATCAGTGAACCACACTCTAATAGAGACTCAATGGGTAATATACAACACACACACACACACACATATTCTACACAATACATATATTGTACAGAATAATTGCAAGTCATTCTTCCAGTAACTACTAAAATATTTAAATCAACGTCTCATATTATAATATTTGATATCTGAACTCCATATAGTTGGTGGTTTCAGGGAGTACTACTGAATAAAGTGACTGGAATACGCTACCAGAATCAGATACAAGATTTTCGCGAGTGTTTAATGAAATAAAACTTAAGTTTATCGAATTTGCATCAAAGTAACGTAACCGTAAAATGCGCTACTAATGTTGTAAAACGTTTCATAAAATGACGACAATTTACATTTACATGTGCCTTCGAAATTTGATATATTCTTTGAATAAAATTATTTATATAGAACAACCAACAAGTGTTCTGATCTAATTATCATTTTAGTACGAACATAACAAAAAATGTATTACCTAATACGGTCTAATATTAAATCATTTTACTCTAATACCTATAAATTCCCAGGAACAACGGATTCCAACCAAGAAGAAGAAGAGCCGCCCCCTCTACCACAAAAACAGTCCCGCAGTATGGAACACGACGAGGAAACGACAGTCAGGCACAACTATGACTTGGTACTGGCACCGAGGACCTCATACCTGTACTCCTCTAAAAGAGACAGGGCGCCCACACCGCCGCCCAAGAAGAGGAACCAACAGGTGTAGACAGAGACGGAGATATAGTACATGCGGGAGTGACAGGGACGGAGCGAGAGAATGAGCGACAGAGATAGTTATATAGCAATACATGCAAAAGTGATAGAGATGGAATGACAGTACTTGCGAAAGGGATAGAGATGGAATAACAGTATGTGGGAGAGAGACGGAAATAATAGTACGTGCAGGAGTGACAGAGATGGAATATATTCCAGAAATTTAAAGATATTATGAGAGATAGAATGAATGGATTATATATGTGAATGAGGAAGTAATGTTTATTGATATATTATGTACAAAGTTTGTTCCATGAATGTATAATACGCTGGCTTTATAAAGGAAAGTAGTGTGACCGGTCTCATCATAATGATACAAGTTACACATGAACATGATTGATGAATATATAATATAATATATATTTATTGGAAATGACGCGATGAGTTATTTCCATGTTACTGAAGTAACTTAATATATCCATTATAGATCATTATAAATAACACATGATTATTTTTATACATATATGTATATTACAAAAAACATATTTATATTATATCAATTTAATATTAAGCCAAAAATGTTTCTTCCACCGAATGTTTTCCAAAAAGAAAGGAAAGAATAATATTTTCTAAACAATCTTCCAAAGTATAGTGTCATATATAATTAAAATATATTTATTTACAATCACAGTGCCATGATATATACAAGATTGATCAAAATGTTATATAAAAATATTCTATACATTATGTTACTCAGGTCGTGTAACGTTACCTGTACCGTGCCTCCATATTAAATAATTTCATATTAATTCATATATAAATGAATATAAACCTTATTATATTATAATTAAGGTTGACTTCTCCATGATATTCGCTTGAAATTGCTTTAATACTCAATTTTTTAACAAACCGACTGAAACAAAACGACGTGAACTCGATAGAGTTTAAACATAACTATAAATATTAGTTATTATTATTATTTGTATATAAATTATTGTAATTGTTATTTGTAATAAACAAGTTACTGAAATTTATTCGTTTTATTTTAACCTTTATTAAATCTTTACAATAAGTTTAAATTCATTTGATAAATTACACAGATATACCTAAAATGGAAAGTCTAATATCATTAACGTAGAGATTATAAAATGTGTATGTACTTGTGTTTTTACATTATTGTACCTACAACACATTTCTCATTTCCCCTATCAAAACGGTTTCTGGTAGTAATTTCTTTTAAGAGATCAGTGATCCTTTTTGAATAACATTTCTTTTATAATACTGTAAAAAAACTTTTTGGTACATAAACAAATGGGTAAATTGAACTTTTAATTGAAAAAATCTTTCCTCAACTGTCAATATTAATATAAAGAAGAACTGATTCAAAGATTTGGGTTTTGAAAACACGGTTTATTGATCCAATATTTATTCTTTATTTAAAAAAAATCTTCAGTGTTAATAAAACAAGACAAAAAATCAGATTATTATTATATACACGACTAAACTGAAAATAATTTTACTTGGTAAGTAAAATATTACATATTAATTTTAATGTCTTTGCTTGAAGGACTAAAAAAAAATATATTGAAAATATTTGATACATGTCATGAGAGTTGCAAAATTTAATCTAACAAAACACAAACACCAAGAAATTTACACGAATGGGTGAGTATATATTTTAAGAAGTCAGGCCGGTTCACTTTATCCCCCCCCCTCCCATCCTATGTTGCCTGATGTAATGCGACATGCGATACATAACATAACAATGATACATAACATAACATAACAATTTTAATTGGAAAATAATACAAATTAAAGACATCTAATTTTCTACTTTAAACATTATATTAGAACTATGAACTTTAATGTGCCTCACAGGTGGGATTTATTTTATGACAAACTCATTAATAAATAAAATTACGTGATTCTTACAAAAAAACAAGAGCATGTTCCATATGTATTATCATAATCCAATGTTTCATAACACAATTAACTTCAAATAAACTAATTCTTAGTTCAATAAGACATTTGGGTGATGTTTTTCAGAGTTTTAAACCGATTAAGATGTAGGCCTTCACCCACTTTGATAAGAGTGAATTATATTTTTAGAAAAACTACTATAAATCATGATGTACATGTTACGAAATTAACTCACATACTAAATATAAAAAACACATAGAACTTGTCTCATTAATTTATAAATATGATATTTATTTTTATATCTATGTAAGTTATTTATGGATCCGAAACGTAGTGCTTCACCAAAGGCCTCATAAATAGTCGCTCAAAGAGCTATGGAGAGAGCTATGCTCGGGGTTTCTTTGCGGGATCGAATCAGAAATGAGGGGATACGTAAAAGAACGAGAGTCATCGGCATACCTACACGGATTAGCTCTTTGAAGTGACAATAGGCAGGCAATATAGCCAGGAGAATAGATAGCCGTTGGGGCCGAAAAGTTCTCGAATGGAGACCACAGGTCGCAAAAGGCAGCGTCGGACATCGATCAACGAGATATACGGACGACCTAGTCAAGGCCGCGGGTTCACGAAAGATGCAGGCCGCCTCCGACCGTAGTGCATGAAAGTCGATAAGGGAGGCCTATGTCCAGCAGTGGATCTCACATGGTTGAAGATTTAAGTCATTTAAGTATAGAGATTGGAGTTTTGAGTATCCTCTTAGAAGAAATGGATTGGTCACAGGCAAAGCACTTATAACTATCCACAAAGAATACGCTATTATGCTCTTTAATTTTTTAACTATCTAGCAGTAGCTTGAGCTAGTGAGATATTAAAAATAATCAAACAAACAAAACTATTTTTATTTTTCTGTTTTTTTGGAATGATATTCTAAAAAGTTTTCAAACTATAATAATCCTAAAACATAAACTTATTAAAACAAGTCAAATGATATAATTACATTTGTTTGCATAATAGGTGAATAGAACGTTAATAAAAGAATAAATTTAAGCAATCTAATTTATCCAAATGAATGAATGAACTCTGCTAATTAAATGGAAAAAAAATATTGTAATTCTAAACCTATTTTTCTTGACAACAATACAATTCTATAGATATAATTAAAATCTTGTTTATATAGAATATATTTGTTAGACGTTCTTTTTTATTAATTTTAACTGTATCCAGTATATATCCTATATATACTGTTTACATATTATATATCAAAGTCAGTGGTGGCCTAGTAAATAAAAGGCCTGCCTCTCATGCATGTGAGCGCGGGTCGAACCTGGCAAAGTACCAATGTGATTTTTCCTAGTCATTTTAATTTTTTATATAATATTTTTTTTCCTAGCCTTTCTAAAAGTTTTTAGACATTACTGATTAATGCATTCCCAAAGGAGGGTTGATGTCTGGGAGGCGGCCGGTCGTAAAAACAATTAGCCAAAACTATTCACAACATGTAAGGCAGATCCTGGATAAAGCTGGGAAATTGAGGTAGGTATGAGGTAGAAGAAGAAAACTGCTTATATATATGTATGTACTTGATAGACCTCACACACGTTGGAAGGTGGAAATGAAGCCGTAGGTGGTGAACGCACCATTTCAGTATTAGATTATATATTATATGAATATAAAAGGGTGAACCCTTTTCTTGATGACACCCAAATCAAAACTTGAAAATTTAATGATAATAAGTTAAAATTGTCAAAATAGTGAACGTTCTTACCCGTAAATCTAATATGTTATTTTATCAAAAGGATTCAACAGTAATGGTGATAATTATTAATTTACAATTATTACCTACATTGCTTTTATTTAAGGAAACAATAACAAAATTCATTTAATATGACATAAATATTATTTGTATTTTTTGTCAACAGTATAAATATTCTTTTTATTTTATAGAAAAAAAAAAACATAAGATAACAATTTTGGAGCGGCAGTTTTACCATTTATAAAAAGAAAACTTTTAATTACGTACATTCAAAGAAAGTATTTAGGTTGAATGAAAATAAGAATGACTTTTCCGGCCTGCTATGTTAATTTTTCAGATTAACACTCCTGTTTTGGTAACTTAAAAATTTTAATTGTAAATTAATGAACACGTTACAAATATTATTATCAATGGTGTTTTCTTTCAATGGATAAAGATTAAATGAAAATTCTCGTTTCGAGTTATTGACATCAGTCAATTAACATTTCCATCCATAATTACAGTTTTCAATCAGGTTAAAACTATTTACTGTTAATATTTTAATATCACAGTCAGTAATAATTAAATATTGATGTAAATCATTAGCGTTATTCGTTTTTAAGTACCCTTGTAACAAATGATTTCATAGTGATTAGCGCCGTTACCGAAGAACGACGTTTATGTAACTTTTGTTTGTAAAGTTTTTTAATCTAATGTCAAAATCGCAAAATTGACGAGATTTTTAAGTAAAAAAATATCATATACAAATGAAAAGTTATGATCATGTATCAGAATAAAATCTTTATATGTCCACTGATATAAAAAGTATGTGTATTGAAATACATAACAATTTTAAATGTTTTTATAGATCAAAAAGACGATAAAGAGAGTACATTCATGATTCAATCAGTCTCTTCTGGTCTTAAAACATATTGGTTTAAAAGTAATCATGTGATTTATAAATAGGTTTTAATCACAAAATGTTTTAATAATAATACTTAAAATTAAATAATATATTTAGCAAAATACCAAAGAGATCATAATGAGAACTCGTGACATAAATTGGTATCATGTGATCAATAAAATAATTAAGAAGAATTGATCTGAGTACAATCTGTTTCAACTCTACGAGTACGAAGAATAAGTCTTTTATTGAACAGTCTTTGAATGAACGCGTTTTGTGTACATTCTTTCATTAAACGTTATTATGTTATAATTAAGAACTTAGACAATTTTATCAATGAACAAAAAAATTATTTATTTTATATTTATTTAAAATACAAGGATTTATAAGTAGGTCGAATACAGGAAAAATCTTAATATAAAAGACGAATATTTTTAATGTTTTATATATTATAACAAGTTTTTATTAAAAGTGAAATACATGTATTTGAATTGGTTGAATTAAATATCAGAGACGATTTCCTTAAAGCTATACTTTGCATGATAATAACCCACACTCTTCTTCT